CTGGAGGTGCGGAGGCCGGCGATAAAGGCAGCTAGAGCTACCTTATCATCTGTTTCCTCAACCTAGAGGATCTCCTCATTGAAGCGGGCAAGGTAGTCTCTAAGGCTTTCATCCCTGTCCTGTTTGATAGTGAGCAGGTGGGTCACTAGTTTCTGATGTCGACGTCCCCCAATGAAGTGGGAGACAAAGGACCTGCTGAGCTAGGCGAAGGAGCGGATGGAGGAGAGTCTGAGCTTGGAGAACCACTGGCAAGCATACCCCTTCAAGGTGGTAGGAAAGGCTCTACACATTATCTTCTCAGACACATTGTGGAGTTGCATAAGGGATTTTGTAGGTATCCAAGTGTTTTAAGGGGTCCTTGGTGCCATCAAAGATTTCGATAGTAGGTATCTTGAACTTTGAGGGTAGGGGGTAGTTAACGATATCAGTAATGAAAGGAGTTTCGGTGCGCCTTACCAAGTAGTCCACAGTTTTAGGCGTCTGGGCCTTGATTGCATTGAGGGCATCGCCGAATTGGTTTTGCACCTCTCTGATCTTCTCATCCCATTAGTTGGGGACGTCCTCTGTCGGGTGGTGGTTCTGGCTTCCATGGTCCCTATATTGGCTCTCTCCTTCTTCGTCCTCCTACAAAGGTACGTATGGAGGGGGAAAATGTGAGCCCCTTATGAGTTAAGAAGGGACTACTGGGCGAGGTGCACCCTGGTGTGGCCTTGGGGCATTCTGGTGAGGGCCCCCATGGTGAGGGGCTGCCTGACGCCCAGGAGGAAAGGGTTACTGCTCTTCTCCTGTTGGAGGGAATGGTGCTCCTCCTGCAGGGTGAGGGGCAACACCTCCTTGGGTGAGCATTAACTGGATGATTTGCTGGTTCTGTTTTACTAGCAGTTGTATAGTCTGTAGAAGCTGTTGTTCGATGACAGGGGTCGCCGTAACAGATGGTTCTGATGGTGCGAGGGGAGGCGGAGCCTCCTCCTGGTGAGCTGGGTTGTTGTCTCCCGGTTACTAGCTCATAGATCGGGGTAGTGATTGTCATGGATTGAGTGAGAGAAGGAAATTATTCGTTCCCACAGACGGCGCCAAATTGATGATGCATAAAATTGTCTTCGCGCAAGATCAACAGTCAATTGTACGAATGAGTGCAATAAGTGAGTAATAACAAGCAATCAATGACAATTAATGATAAAAACAATAAATAAGGAGAAAACACCGAGGTTTATAGCGGTTCGGTCCGGGTGACTTACTCCACTCTCGGGAACGGCAGTGGTAGCCTGAATCTTTTATTAATGGGTGAAGTCACTAGAGAGAGTATTCTTCAAGTGTATTACAGTGCTTACAGGGAGAGATAGAGAGAGAGAACAATGTGTGTAGGAAGGTGTAGTGTGTACAGGAATCTCAAGACTATGAGAGCATGCCCTTTATATGGAGAGGGCTTACATTATATAGGTGTGATGAGGCGGTGACATGAGGAGGAATACTTCTACTGTTTTAGTAAGTACAACTATGGTAGGAGATCTCCGTGCATATCCCGACGTTTTCTCCCTTGTGCTCCTATTTCTTCGGAGGAGGGTCTTGAACTAGACTGAGCTTGTACTTGATTTTGGGCTAGGACCTGAAGTAATCTTGGACTTGCATTGGAGTTAAGTGAGGAGGGGATGATGGACAAGGCGTGGATGATGCCCACTTGAGGCCACATGGGCGACGCCCATTTGGTCCCTTGGGCAGCGCCCCCTTTGAGAATGACTTGGTCTTTGTTTTGGACTCTTACTTAACTCCTTGGTCGGTCAATCTGTTTTTGGACTTTTCTTTGGGCTTTCTCAGCTTATTTTTATTGGGCTTGACCCTGTAAAATTCGGACTCATCAGTGTGTTTGCTCTCTATGTGTGTGCGTATGTTTGTTGTGTGAGAACATAATAGAGAGAGAGCGAGAGGGCGAAGGGAAAAGCAGAGAGATTAGGTGGAAGAGAGAAGGAGCAGGAGTGATAAGATAAAAATTCGAGTGAATGTTTTGTGAATTATTGTTCAAACAGGTTTTATTATTTTATATTCTTTAAAACTATTTTCAAAACCAAGTTTTTCAATATAAAAATTTTTAAAAATATTTTCTTAAACTTTTTTTCAAAAATTATTTTCGAATACTATTTTTTGAAATGAGATTCAAACACGCCCCAATTGTTGGGGTGGTGGTGTTTTTTTTTTTTTAATTCTAGAAAATTGTTTTAAAAACACACAAAACAGTTCTAATTTGTTCTCTAAATTTATCAATTTTTTATTCTCAATTTTCTAAAAAAAAAACAAAAAGAAAAAATAGCCGAGGCAAACCGCCTTTTTTCCCTAAAAACTGTTTCCAAAAATAAAAAGATAGTTTCCAAAATGCAAACCAAACAGAGTGTTAATCTTCTACTCAAATATCTATGACAATGGGAAGATGAACAAACTTTAAATACAAAATCCGACAAAATAAGATTTTATTTGAGTTGAAGGGACTTTATTATATCATGGGTTAATATCATTTTTTGTCCTTAAAATTTACATTTTTTGTTAGTTTAGTTTTTATTGTATCAATTTTGTCAATTTAATCCCCAAAACATCCAATTTTTGTTATTTTGGTCCATAATCAGATAATTCTTTTAAATTTTTTTTACAAAAATGATCACATGCCATTTTTTTAAACGGTATCACGTATCCAACACGTGATCATTCCGTCAAAAACTTAACTATCCATCTATGTAAAAACTAAACTGATATGAAAAAAATTGATAAAATTAATACAATGAAGACTAAACTAACAAAAAATACTTATTTTAGAGACTAAAAATGTAATTAACCCGTGATATTTTGACATGTTAAATGCCCATACCTTATTTTCTCTTTTAATTTCTTGATATAAAGAAGAATTCATCAATTCTAATTTTAGAACATTTTTATGAGCACAAACCTGAAATGGGGAAAGCTTCAACAACGAAATATGAGAGTAATAAACACAAGAAACTGGGTGTGTTTGGTTAGCTTCTGAAAAATAGGTTTTTGTTCTTAAGATTTTAAAAATATTAAAAATCTGTTTGTTTATTATTTTTGTTCTCTAAATTTTGAAAAAAAAAATGAGATTTGAGTTAAAAAAAAAAAAATAGAAAACAAATATAACTTATTTTCAGAGTTTTTTTTGAAAATTTTAAAAATAATGAGAACAATNTTTTTTTTTTTTTAATTCTAGAAAATTGTTTTAAAAACACACAAAACAGTTCTAATTTGTTCTCTAAATTTATCAATTTTTTATTCTCAATTTTCTAAAAAAAAAACAAAAAGAAAAAATAGCCGAGGCAAACCGCCTTTTTTCCCTAAAAACTGTTTCCAAAAATAAAAAGATAGTTTCCAAAATGCAAACCAAACAGAGTGTTAATCTTCTACTCAAATATCTATGACAATGGGAAGATGAACAAACTTTAAATACAAAATCCGACAAAATAAGATTTTATTTGAGTTGAAGGGACTTTATTATATCATGGGTTAATATCATTTTTTGTCCTTAAAATTTACATTTTTTGTTAGTTTAGTTTTTATTGTATCAATTTTGTCAATTTAATCCCCAAAACATCCAATTTTTGTTATTTTGGTCCATAATCAGATAATTCTTTTAAATTTTTTTTACAAAAATGATCACATGCCATTTTTTTAAACGGTATCACGTATCCAACACGTGATCATTCCGTCAAAAACTTAACTATCCATCTATGTAAAAACTAAACTGATATGAAAAAAATTGATAAAATTAATACAATGAAGACTAAACTAACAAAAAATACTTATTTTAGAGACTAAAAATGTAATTAACCCGTGATATTTTGACATGTTAAATGCCCATACCTTATTTTCTCTTTTAATTTCTTGATATAAAGAAGAATTCATCAATTCTAATTTTAGAACATTTTTATGAGCACAAACCTGAAATGGGGAAAGCTTCAACAACGAAATATGAGAGTAATAAACACAAGAAACTGGGTGTGTTTGGTTAGCTTCTGAAAAATAGGTTTTTGTTCTTAAGATTTTAAAAATATTAAAAATCTGTTTGTTTATTATTTTTGTTCTCTAAATTTTGAAAAAAAAAATGAGATTTGAGTTAAAAAAAAAAAAATAGAAAACAAATATAACTTATTTTCAGAGTTTTTTTTGAAAATTTTAAAAATAATGAGAACAATTTTGAATATTCAGATATAGGTATATATATATATATATTATAAAATTGTTAATATAAAAATAATTTTTTAATATTTTTTTATTAAAGTATGAATTACTGTTCAAATATATATTTAAATTATCCAAACAAGTTTTATTATTTTCTGTATTGTAAAATTATTTTTAAAATCATTTAACCAAACAAATTTTTTATCTCAAAAAATATCAAAACCATTTTCTTAAAACTCTTCTCAAAAATTATTTTCAAACACTATTTTTTTTAAACAGGCGGAAACAGGCGGCATCTCTTGTTTCCTTCCTATTTTCTGCAGTTCATTGTCGAAATGATGAAAGAACCAATGCAAGAATGCCCGCTATGCACTATTTATATAAATAAACATTGTAAGCAAGAAAGTGCAGCCTCCAACACAAACCTCAAAGTCCTCACACCAGGCCAATGTACCCTTGGGCAAATTGTGGCTTGCCCCATACCTGTCTGTTGCATGTTGGAAAACTTTCTCACTCCTACCTGCAGAGCATGCCTCCGAGAGTTTGAAACGAACATATTTTTACATTCGCGTTACCTCAGTTCCTTTAAGACAGTGATTATCATTATCATCGATAAGCTTCGCTTTTTTCTGTTAACCATTTTCCATACCAAACTTCAGGCACTCCATGGTATCCACCCGCCATATTCGCAGTCCTACAACCACTTGATTTTCTTTGTACAAGCATCCATCTCCTTGGTATCACATCTGAACTTTGAAGGACTTGAGTGACAAGTAAGTTTCTACACTTATTTAGCAATAACAAAAGGAAATATTACCAATTGGGTTCACTTGGATCTACAATCCATAGTTCAACAAGATAATACATGAATATCACTTTACAATGTACTGCATGATACTGAGAAAAACTCCCTAAAATGGATTCAACTGCATTGCCAAAAGTTGAAACTTTTTACAAGAAATCTTTGAAGAGAAGATTACGGATACAATGTCATTGCTTATGGGAGATTCACTACGCTTACTATAAGTCAAAAAGGAGGTACAAATGCAACTGAAAATAGAGGAATTTCGTCTATCGGAGATACACTATGCTTACTATAAGCAGGAGCTTTGAGCACCGAATATGAATATGACCTTTGTTAGAGACTCGCTAGAATTAGCATTTGAACTACCCGTGGAGCTACTCAAACTAGGCATTCCGTCAATACATCACTAAGGATCAACACATCTGGCAGGCGTTGATAGAACAAAATCATCATCCTCATCCTCATCATCACTTATCCACCCATAACATGGTCTACGCCTCCGGTTTGGGGGAAGGCACTCCATCATAGGCGGGGAATGGTCTGAAGCAAGGTGGATTTGTACTCCAAGCTTTGTTTGTGGAACATCATCCTTATGAAAATAAATAATAATACATAATTTTTAGGGAAGAGTCAACCAGAGATCATCGGATCTTAAAAACTGATGCCATGAGAACCTTGGGGGAAGAGAAAAGACAAAAAAGAATGTCTTACTAAGACAGAACTACCATAAAATAAAAATCCTCTGTTAGCACAGAAACCATATAATAACATTTGATTTCTAATAATTTTGATTTCTAGAATAACAAATCCCACGCCGTGCTCTGTTTCATAACCGATCAAACATAGCAATTAGCAAGTTAGCCTAAAAGGAATTTGATACCCCCAATATTCCCTTCCCCCAACATCATCCATCCAAGCAATCAAATGCAGAAACTAAAAGCAAAATTATAAAGAAAACAAGAAAGTAATTCTTCATACTTACAATATCTTTCTTTGAACAGTAATACCATTGTAATATCACGAGGCATTTGTGCCACCAAGAAAATCATAACACAGGTGCAAATGGTGGAATACCATGGTGCACCAGACCACTAGCAAATAAAATTCCGTACAGTTTTTCAGTCTTACAAAAAGAGGTATACAAAACATAACAATGGAATGATGAGATTAACAGTAGCAAATGAAACGAGCATAGCAGACCATATAACCAATCCAAAGTGTACAATAATTTGTTTACCAGTTTTCCAACAACAAATCATAGGCTCCAATGATGGCAAGTACAGGCCCATCTGATTATGTTACATACAAATTCTTATAGACATGAAGTATAAAAGCAATGTAATAATATTTTACCAGTAATCATTACCCATATTTGCACTCTTGGGATTATTAATATTTTTAGGTAATTACCTTCCTATGGAGATAGAACAGGTTATCTCTCTACTGCTACACAAAAGGCCAAGAGTCTCTACTTTTGGGTCTCTAGGGTGAAGGAGTACTGTTGTCAGAGTTTCCACTCTGTTTTTTAAGGGTGCATCTCTTAGATCTTTCCCTCTTGTGAGATGATTCCTCCTAATTTCTGCCTTAGTGAGAAAATGGTCAGGGGTGGGTCTGTACTTATGTGTCTAATTTTGTTATGCACCAAAACAAACTAGGCCTAATTTACAAGAAATATTCAACCAAATCCCACCATTTGTACCCAAAATCTTTTTGATATCTCGTTCTTTTTCCATTTTTCTGGGTGTGCCAATTCGAGCAATCAAATAGATCACACAGGAAAAAGCAAGTAGGTGCTCAGCAAATGACAAAAATAATACCTTCAGTGCTGAACAGTTCTCTGCTTCAAAATTCTCCTCTTGCCCTTTCTCTTGTTCACATAACACTTTATCAAATATCTCTGCATCATAAATGTCCTCCACACGTTCTTGTCGTTCACAAATATGTTTGTCAAGCATTTGTTCTACACAATAGGTTTCTGTACAATTTTCTTCTGGAAATTGTTGTTGTTCATCTTGAGTTTGCTCTTGTTCTTCAAGTAAGGTATCAACCAGAACCTTGTAAGCAGCCTCTTCAATAAAAGCCCACCCATCATTTCCATAAACCTAAAAACAAACAAAAATACCCATTCCAAAGCCAAATCAAAGTTAAAAACTAAAAACCCAACACAACCCATTTTTCAAAACAGCAAAAAATACTTTAGAAAAACAGAAAAAACAAAAGCACCAACATCTAATAGGTCCTTGACAGATTTGCGCACAATTTCATCAGAAAACCCTAGCGGACGCATAGCATCCAATGCAGCGTCAATTCGCCCTAAACCCACCTGCAAAAGGTTAACCAAAAGGTCATACTTAATCCTTGGCTAGATAAAACATAGCTCCACAATTCTCTCTCTCTCTCTCTCTCTCTGTGTGACAATGTATAGCCGAGAATTGTACGAGTACAGTAAATCGCAAAATGATAATGTATGTATAGAAATTCAGAGAAAATGGGTTTGGAAACCTTTCGGCGTCTTCCTCTTGGAGCCATTGTAGATGAGTACGATCTGTGAGCGCTGCCACGAAGATTCCAAGAGACCCCCACAGGGATACTGATGAAGTGGGTACGCCGGCCCAGAGCTATGAATTTATTGCATTCTGAAAGAAAAGAGGCCAAATAAACCGAAAAGTCATAGAAGTTTTTGAAACTTTTTTCTTGTTACTTCGATATGAAGGCTGGGTAAGTTCCACGCAGATGTCAAATGGGAATCCGGATCCTTTTCTTTTAGGTTTTTTTTTTTTTTAATAGTAAGAGTCTCACGCTCTATTTAATACCATAGAAAAATGAAAAGTTGGAAGGATGAATAGTTAAAAGGGTAAATAAAATATTATATTTAATAAAAGAGGAAAATAAAAAAAATAAAAAAGTTAATGAATGAACTTTTTTTTCAACTCACTAAAATTAATCTCTCTAAAATTAAAAAAAATGTAAATGAAAAATTAATAAAATGATAAAATATGTATTTATATATTTTTAAAAAAATTAAAAATAAAAATTTTAAAAATAATATATATATATATATATTTTCCATCTTAACTAGGGGTGTAAATTTTCAACTCAATAAGATTACACAAATCAATTCAACCAGTCAAACCCAAAATTGATATCATCAATCCGTTTATTTAAAAATAAATATTTTTTGTATTTTTTCGTTTGTATAATAACACGAAATTAGCATATTTAACTAATATTATAGGCATAAAATGTTAATTATTTGTAATTATTTATTAAGCACTGACATAATTATTATGTAAAAAAGCTATTTTTATTTATTATTATTATTATTATTATTATTATTTTTTAGATTGTAAAAAAAGTATAAGCATGGATTCAATTAAGTGAAAATATAATATTAACATTAAATTTGTTATTCAAAGTTTACGTGGGTCAACACGAATACGATATGAAAATAAATAAATCAACTCGGTACAACACGATTAATTAAATGAGTTGAGTTAAGTTTGACTAATGTTCGATATGAACCTGTAATGATTCGAATAAACCTGATACGACATTACTTGATTGTCGCTCCTAATCTTACCAAGCACCCAAAAAAAAAAATTAATCATTTTTATCCATCCATCGTACCAAACACAAATGAAGGAAAATATATCATTTATATTTTCCTTCTTTAAAAAATATAAAATATATCACTTTTACTTTCCATCATTTCCTACTAAACAGAGCATTATTACTCAAAATGAGTTGATTTATATCAAAATGATTTAATTAATTTTTCACCACGTTTTTTCAAAAAATGTCGCCAATAAATTTTTACGTAAATAAAAAATTTTAAAAATAATAATTAAATTAATTTTTTGCGACGTTTTTCTGTAAACGTCGCCAATAAATATTTACGTAAATTAAAAATTTTAAAAATAATAATTTAATTAATTTTTCGCGACGTTTTGAGTTTGTCGGGAATATTTTTATCTCATAATATTTTTTGCGACGTTTTTTGTTTTTGTCGCAGAATATAATTTTGTAAAAATTTCTTTTACCCTAAATTTTTTTTATTTTTTTGTTTGCGACGTTTCTTTGTTTGGTCGTAGAATATAATTCTTTTGCCCTAAATCGATCCACAAAAATTCCAGACCACCAAGCGACTGACCACAGCTCCAAGAGGCAGCTCTCCAGCGACCACTCTGGCGACTAAGCAGCAACCACTCCGGCGACCGAGCAGTGACCATTCCAGCGACTGAGCAGCTCCAAGAGGCACCAAGATTCCATTATAATCTGATTTTTTTACGTCACTAAAAATTAATTAAATTATTATTTTCTACATTTTTTATTTATGTAAAAAATTATTTGCGACAATTTTTTTTACATTGCAAAAAATTAATTAAACTATTATTTTTTACATTTTTACGTTGGTAGAATAGATTTTAGCGACGTTTTTCTTCGTTGCAATTTTTTTTTTTTTTGCAACGCAATTAAAATTGCGTCGCTAAATACTTTAGGCGATGAACACGCAACGAAAAAAAAAAACATCACAAAAAATAATTGGCGACAATTTTTTTAATTTAGCGACAAAAAAAATCATCACAAAAAATAATTTTTGTTGTAGTGGGACCATCTTTGATGAGGACTAATACACTATATTTACCCCCTAAATTTTTGAGAATTTTCAATAAATTAGTAGTCCACTAATCTTCTAAAATAAATATTTTATTTTATTAATCGAAAGATAATATTTTTCTTTATCTAACAAAATATTCGTTATTTTTTAAGAACAATTGTTTAGTTTTCATTTATCATTTTTTTTTAGTAATAGTAGACTATAACCCAATAAAATACGATTGTATACAAAAGACAAAAGATTGTAACCCAAAAATATTTCAAGCTATTTCGAATAGAGAATTTCTCTATAAGATCAATAATGATCTCAATTAAGTTTTACAACTAAATGAAGAATAATTTTACTATGGGTAAAAATGTATAATTGGGTAAAAATGTACTAAAAAAAATTATTTTGTATCTTTTTGTTCAAATTTTATTTTGTCTAAATAAAAGTTGAATTTACTAATTCACAATAATTTTGTCTTGAGTCTTAATTTTTTTGTCATTCTTGAACTTAATTTTTTTATATCAACCAGTAAATTATTTTTAATTATATTTTACCTCCTTTCATAGATATTCCAAGCTCCACACCTAATTGTTAATCATGCAACAACAAATGAAAGTGAAACATGATGGGAAACTAATTAAACATCACACAACCTTTAGCTTTTAAGGTATTAGATAGTAGATAATTATTAGTAGGGTAGTGCTCGAATCACATCGAGTAACTGAATTCCACACTTAAAAAGCATACGACCCTTTGAATTACACACTTGATAGATGAAATCGTAAGTGGAATGATGTCAACGAAGAAACTTGTTTAGAACCTTTGAGTTCTTGGAAGAATTGTTTTTAGAGCTTCAATTTAATAGGTAATTCTTTTATTTTGTTACGTCAAATCTCACCAACTTCATAAAACATGTTTCTACAAAAATAACTTTTTCACCTTATTCTTCATGCGTTTATCGGAGAGTCATCTTGGAGGTGGTAGAAGATTAAAGAAGAGCTCAACGCAATGCTCCATTCTTGATTGCCTATAGCCTCAACTCGTCGTCGTTTCTCCTTTGTTTGATGTAATTGGACTATGACACAAGAAGAAGAGTATTGACGTGAGATATCATGTTAATACTTAACTAATTTGTGCAACTCTTGATGCACTATATATCAAACTAGTAATAACTCGTGCCTGAAGAAACGGTACAATATAAAAATTGACCATCCCAAAAAATTGATGGTGATAGATGTATTTTAGTTAGTCAATTACAAAAGTATAGCAGAAATAAGGTAGGACACAAAAAACATGAACAATTTTGAAAGCAAGACATCTGAAAAAGAAAAGCTGGGAAACAGAAAAGGCGAAATACAATACTTTGCTAATTTTAGGAGCTTTTAGAAAGGTTTTCAAAATTTTGGTTCTTAAATTTTACATTTTAGGAGCTACTCATCGGGAAAAAAGTTATTGGCTATGTTCTAAATGAATGATTATGGGTCAAAAATTGACTTAGGATGTGCTAATGGGACAACATTATTGAATTGTAATCCCACTTAAAACTTGTAGCTATTTATTAAGTATTGTTACAACATTATACGATGGCCAATTTTGAAAGAAAGAAAAGTTGGAAAACAAAAAAGGCAAAATAAAATATTTTGCTAATGCCAAGAGCTATCAAAAATGTTTTTCAGATTTTGTTTCTTAAATTGAAATTTTGAATTTGAATCCATGATGCATAGGAAAATATGGAAATTTATGTTGTCAAACCAATGATGTAAATTCTTATAATTTATGAAACTACATGACTTCTAAGAATGTCAATTGACGAAAGCAATCGACTTGCTAAATTCCTAACTCTAAACTTGTATCTTGGCAAAACCCAATAGTTTGAAATCATATACATGAAGTACAAACGTATAATTGAAATTTCTCTAATAGGCCCCATTGCAATAGTCCTTCATGCTCAAATTTGATAGTATGTGTCATTGGTTGACAAAGAATACAAAACAAAGGAATGCAAAGGTTGATCATCTAAAAGAAATTAAGGAAATTTTAAGGCTAGAACATAGTCTGAAACATAGCATACACACATGTATTCTACCTCCATCCTTTCTACCCCTGCTGACAACTCAATTCCCATACCCAACAAAAAAAAAACAGGATTTACACAGTAGAAAGTTTTTCACCGAGATCAATTATATAATTAAAACATAGAATTAATAATCTAATCAAAATTGGTAAGGTCAAACCACAGAAAACAACTTACAACTCTTAAAAATATTTAAAAATATGCTCTTCCAAAATTTGATGACCATACCACCATTGAACATTATATCCAAATTTCAATTTCAAAACCCATTTCAGATTTCTTAAGCATAAAAAGAATAATTTCAAATAGTTAAGGGTAATGTACGTGTGTGTTATGTGTTCTACTGTGCATGTTTGTGAGCTTTGTGGCGTGTGTACTGTTGTGTGTGTGGGTGGGCTGTGTGACGTGTGGCGTGTGTGTTGTGCATGCTATCTGTGTGCGTTGAGTGTTAGAGTCATTTGATTGAACACATTGTGTGCATTTGGTCGAACACCTTGCACGCGAGGTGTGTGATGTGCTGAGAGAGAGGCAAAGACAAAGACAAAGATAAACAGAGATTCGTGTGGTTGTTGGCGTCAGAGAGAGATGGAGATAAGAGAAACGGGGAGGGGAAGAAGAGAGAATGAGAGAATTACGAAGAGGGGAGACGCGATTAGGGCATCTATGAGGGTGGTTTGTGCGCAAAGAGGATGACAGAAATGAGGACAGGGGAGAGGAGAAAGAAAACTACCTCAGAGGGACACCAGTGTTGCGGTGGTGGGGCTGACCTTCGCTTGGAAATCCAATAATAATCAAAAGAATGCGATGTGTGCATTTGATTGAACACTTTGTGCGCATTGCCGTCGTTGTTGCTACTGGGAGGCGGTGGTTTGCTTCAACTGAGATGGGGGTCAGAGAACAGAGAGGAGGGTGAGAGAATAGGCAAAGATGGGGAGAGATATGAGGGAGATGGAATAGAAAGATGTTGGGTATGCTGGGGAGAGAGAGTTGAAGCTGAGAGGGGTGAGGGAAGTGAGAGATGACACGTGAGAGAAGGATTGAGAGTGATTTCAACCTTTGGATCAATTTTAGACATTTGAAATTTGGGTTTGGATGTGACATATATGAGGGAAAAAATTTTGTGGGAGTAATTTTAGACAATTGGATCAATATTCTAAAGCAAATCTGAACCATTCTTGTGTTTTCCCAACTTAAAGATTCAAATTAGGATCTCTCTTATTAGTATAGATTTCAGAAAAAATACTTCTTATATAAAAAAAGTAGCAAACATATCCTTCTACAAATTAATAGTGCTATTTGTACTCATTTCACTAGTAGAATTTACTGATTCAATTAATTTTTATTATTTGAATTGACAGTGGATCGAGTCCTATATTAATACAATTTACTAATTAAAAAATAGAGAAAGTCAGCAAATTTTGTTAGTATCGTAATCATTTGGCACGTTAGCCTTCCAATTTTATTTTCTTCATTGGGTTTCAATTACGATATCTAAAAGTTATTTTTTATTAATCAAAATATGCAAAAGTTTTGTATACATAAATTCTTCTTAAACTTAAAAATTTATGTGATTCACATCCTAATAAATCCATGTTGAAAATCGTTTAATTCTATATGAATTCAGACAACACTTGATGATTAAGAATTTTAAAAAAAAAAAACATCTGATATTGGAAAAAGGAGAATATATAAAAATAAGTTGCTCTCATAAGTGGGAATATGTGAGTGCTTAATCACTGGGCCCCGTCATCACGCAAACGCAAAAATAATATTTATTTGAAACTAAAACATTACAAAGAGCAATATTCCAGATTCAACATTCCAAAACTACAAATTATTATCGGCTCTATAAAATATTTATATAAATTTACATATTTCGTAAGATTAGTGATATCCCTATACAAGAAAACATCATTGACCAATCAAAAACATATGACTCTTTGAATTACACTTGGTAGGTGAAACCGTAAATGTGATGATTTCGTTGAAAAAACTCGTTTAGAGCATTTGAGTTCTTAAATTGAGGAACTTTTTTTAGGGCTTCAATATAACCAATGAACAATTCGCCCCATTTATTTCGTATTTCGCCAACTACACGAAGCATGTCTCTACAAAGATTCTTGTCTACCTTATTCTTCATGTGTTCATCATCGGAGAGCCATCTTGGAGGTGGTGGAGGATCAAAGAAGAGCCCAACACAATGCTCCATTCTTGATCGCTCGTAGCCTCCACCGGTCATCGTTTCCCCTTGTTTGATGAACTCGGACTATGTAGCGAGAAGAAGAGTATTGTGGTGATGATCACGACTATGAAGTTGATGATTATATATATTCTTCTTAGAGTGTAGGAAGCCATGAATAATTGATATGGTGAATAGGGTTTTGTGACGACCATGTTCCTATATATATAGAGAGAGCTAGATAAGAGCTTTAGGGTAATCAAGCTAAAACATTTGAATGGAACTAGAATACCGCGTAAATCTAATACTTTCCAATCAAGAAAATCTGATTCACGTGTATTATTATAGAACTTGTGTTCCAAGTTACTTGTAGAACCTTCCTAACTAGTAAAGCAAACTCTGCTTATGTGATACTACTATACTAATTAAGTGTGCTCACTTGAATTTCTATTGGCGAGCCGAGGGTTGGGTTGCCAATCGTATAGACGTAACCAAGTTGGCAGGCATTGAATTCTGAATGATTTAAAATTCGATTTAATTAGTTAAAGGCTTTCATCATTAGATATCATTTTCTTTTTACGGTTCATATGAAAATTTATTATAAAATTCAAATTTGATCCCAAACTTCATTATGATCAGATAATTCAAAAATAGTTTAATTCTAATTTAAATTATCGTATTGAAATTAAAATGTACTTTTGTTAAATTTAGCTCTCGTTTAATTATTTGGATTAGATCGACTTTTATGTTTTCAAATAATTCGGATATGAAATGTTATAAATAAGTTTGTTGGATAGTTAGATCAGATTCGGATTAATCGAAATCTTATCCAAATCCCACCATTGACAAACCTTACTGTTTATTGTGAGACGCAATGAGTATTGATTCGTCTAATTATTTTTTTTTAACATAATTTCGCTTCAGTGCACTATTTTGGTATGAAAACATCTAAATGTTTGTTCAACATTAGTTTTAATTTTGTTTATGAAATATTAAAATTAAATTTAATGATTTTGTAAAATTGGATTGGACAGAAATTAAATTTGTGAAATCCTAAGACTTGATTATAGTAAGGACTTTTGGTTTATTCAAATTGGATACAATTAATTCTCCTATTTATTTTTTATCTACATTCCTAAAATTAGAAGATTGTCTTCTAATTACTTGAGGAGACTAGCAATGCATCACATGCATTGCACGTAAATAGTTTTCATATATAAAATATAAATAAAATATTTTAAGTTTAGGTATCTGTATAACTAAATTAAATATCATCTCAAGTTTATAAAAATTATATTTTTATCGCTCGTATTATATTATAGAATTCAAAAAATTTTGCTCGTTCCCAAATTGTTCTAACTGTAAGAAAAATATATAAAAATTAATTCATTAGATTAGGTTTCAACTTATAATTCATTATATTAATTGTCAATATTCTAGTGAATAATTATATTATTTAAGGACAACATAGTCAATTGAAAAGTGTCATAGATACTAATAATTATATATAGATAGTAGATAATTAAAAAAGATATTAAGGATAATTTGGAGATTTAAACATATAAGAATATGATGATAATTTAGATATTTAACTATTAAAGGATAATTTAGTATTTAAAATTCTTTATAAAGTTAAAATAGTGAATCAAAAAATTTTCATGCTAAGATACTTTTATTAACAATTAACAATAATTGTCAATATTCTAAGGAATACTTATTTTTTAAGGGTAACATAGTCAATTGTAAAGTGTCATAAACACTGATATTTATATATAGATAATAGAGAATTAAAAAAAGATGTTAAGGGTAATTTAAAGATTTAAACATAGAAGAATATGATGATAATTTAAATATTTAACTATAGAAGGATAGTGTGGTAATTAAAATTCTTTATAAGGGTAAAATAGTGAATCAAAAAAATTTCATACTTTTATTAGTAGTATAAATAGTTTTCTAATTAAATTAGGATATTACTTTCTAATTATATTAAAAGATTGTCTTTTAATTCAATTTAAAAATTATTTTATAACTAAATTAAGAGATTGTTTTCTAATTAAACTAGAAGATTATCTCCTAATCAAATTAAGCAATTGTCCTTTGCATAGATTAAGAGATTGTCTTCTAATTAAACTAAGAGATTGTGTCCTAATCAAATATTTTATAACTAAATTAAGAGATTGTTTTCTAATTAAACTAGAAGATTATCTCCTAAACAAATTAAGCAATTGTCCTTTACATAGATTAAGAGATTGTGTCCTAATCAAATTATTTTATAACTAAATTAAGAGATTGTTTTCTAATTAAACTAGAAGATTATCTCCTAATCAAATTAAACAATTGTCCTTTACATAGATTAAGAGATTGTCTTCTAATTAAACTAAGAGATTGTGTCCTGATCAAATTAAAAGATTTTCTTTACTTAAATTAGCATATTGTCTTATAAATAAATTAGGATATTGTCTTCTAATTAGTAGATATTATTCTAATTAAACTAAGAGCTTGTGTCCTAATTAAATTAGGATATTGTATTCTAATAGAATAAAAATTCGATTCTTAATAAAACACCACCTAAACTAAGATCCTATTTTAACTAGGATTAGAATTAAAGAATTCTAATGAGATTAAGTCTACTAATTTTGATCCTTAAACATGTAATGGCAAATCATTTATCACGTTAGCCTTTCATGTTTATTTTCATCTTTGGGGTTCAACTACGATACTTAAAAATTATTTTTTGATATTGAATTTCATATTTTTCATTAATCAATTTTTTTTCCAGACTAACTCCATCATACATAAAGCCTCTATAAACTTAAAAATTTATTTGATTTACATCCTAATAAAACCATATCGAAAATCATATCATTCCAAGTGAATTCATCGAAAATGTTTGTTGTAGCAACTGTTGGGTGCTTGGAAAAGGTGTAATTGCAAAACTCTCAAATCAAAACATCGATGTTTCACATATAATTACACCATCCGAGTGCTTAATCACTAGGACCGTCATCACGGAAACTCAACAATATTATTTATTTGAAACTTCAACATCACGAACGAGCAATATTCCAAATTCAACATTCCAAAACTACAAATTATTATCAGCTCTATAAAATCTTTATATAAATTTCGTAAGATTAGTGATATCGCTTAATTGACAAAACAAGAATATACGAACTCTTTGAATTACACTTGGTAGGTGAAACCGTAAATGGGATGATTTCGTTGAAGAAACTCGTTTAGAGCCTTTGAGTTCTTCTTAGATCGAGGAACTTTTTTTAGGACTTCAATATAACCAATGGGTAATTCACTCCATTTGTTTTGTACTTCGCCAACCGCACGAAGCATATCTTTACAAAGATTTTTGTCCATCTTATTCTTCATGCGTTCATCATCGAAGAGCCATATTGGAGGCGGTGGAGGATCAAAGAAGAGCCCAACACAATGCTTCATTCTTGATCGCTCGTAACCTCCAATAGTCATCGTTTCCTCTTTGTTTGATGAACTCAGACTGTGTAGCGAGAAGAAGAGTATGGTGGTGATGATCACGACAATGAAGTTGATGATAATATATATTCTTCTTAGAGTGTAGGAAGCCATGTTTGATTGATATGGTGAATAGGGTTTTGAGAGGACCATGTTTATATATATAGTGCTAGCTAGCTAAGAGTTTTATGGTAATTAAGGTAAAACATTCGGTTCGAACTAAGATACCGCGTGAATCCATTACAATCCTAGGCAAACAAGAAAATCTGTGTTCCAAACTTGTCTTCCAAGTTACTTGTAGAACCTTCCTAACCAGTAAAGCAAACTCTGCTTATGTGATACGAGTGAGGTCACTTGGAATTTCTATTGGCGAGCCAAGAGTTGGGTTGCAATCGTATAGACGTAACCAAGTTGGCAGGCATTGAATTCTAAATGGTTTTAAAATTCGATTTAATTAGTTAATGGCTTTTATCCGAATTTGATTAGATATCATTTTCTTTTTATAATTCACATGAAAATTTATTATAAAATTCAAATTCGATCCCAAACTTTTCATTATGATCTGATAATATAAAAATATTTTAATGTTAGTTCAAATTATTGTATTTAAATTGAAATGTACTTTTGTTAAATTTAGTTCTCGTTTAATTATTTGGATTAAATTGACTTTTATATTTTCAAATTATTCGGATATGAAATGTTATAAATAAGTTCATTGGATAGTCGGATCAAATTTAAATCAATCAAAATCCTATCTAAATTCGACCGTGGACAAACCTCCTAACTATTTATTGTGAGGTGCAACGAGTATTGACTATCGTCGTCCAACCGCTTTCTTCAACATAATGGTAGCCCCACTTTAAAAAATTATTGTCTTCGCCCCTGATTTTCACTAAAACTTATTTACCTTTTTTTACAGTTCTTACATACATTTTTTTTTACGATTCTTCGCATACTCTATAATTATAAAAGATAAAGAAGTTTGTAGCTGTTTTTTTTCTTAGAAAATTATTATTAATTTCCAAACTAAGTTTTTTGAATAACAAATCATGGCCCTTACATGCCAAATTTATTTTTGAATTTCTTCGTTTCTCGCTAATTTTGATTGAGAAATTAACATAAATCTGTGCTATTTGGGTCAGATATTAATTCAGGCATAGAGTTCGAAATGAGTTCGGCCTACCACTAAAATCAATAAAACATTAATCTATTAGCGGGTCTTGTCCGCTTCCATGTAATTAGTATGTTTTAACTTTTTTTATGTAATTTTTTAAATTTTAAGTAACATTTGTGATGGGAAAATCATGTATTTATGTTTTTTTAAATTGTTTAAAACATTTTAAAATTTAGTAATAATTATTTAGTGGGTTTGCCAGTCTAGGCCTAGGCCATGAAATTGGATCACGAGCGGGGCTTGGTTTATGCAGCTTTGGCCCGAGGATGTGCTAATTTCCCAACCCATTTCATAGTTACCCATGAAGTGCAATTGATGATAACACGAATAAAATCTTAAAGAAATTTGGAGGCCGGTCTTACTATATAGACTTATTTGGATATAAGTCCGGTAAGAAAATTTATTTGGTTTTAAGTCCATTTTTTGTCAAGTTTACTATTATACCCCTACCCTTTGGAAAAACAGTAACTATCACCTGACTTACCGTCTCCTTTACATAGATTTAATCATTGAGGGATATATGAAAACTCTTGATTGAATTATATACGAAAATCGTTTATTAAATATTATGATAATTAACGAAAGTTATATATTCTGATAATTATATATGAAATTTATATATTCTGATAGTTATATATAAAATTTATATATTCTAATAGTTATATATAGAAGTTTGATGTACGAATAAATTGTCGGTCTATTAAGTCAAAATTAGATCACAACATTTTCTTAACATTAGTGTTACTATAGTGAAACTAATTTTACTATAGTGATACGAATGTTACTATAATGACACAAATGAGATTGTTTTCCTTAAAATACTTAATACCTATAATGAAGAATTCTACAATTTTAAATAGTAACACAAACTCAACCCTAATTTTCACTTACACTATCAATTGCAAACCTTTAGACGTATATTATGTAACATACACATTTAATTTTTACAGTAACATCAAAGGTTTATATTCAGTAACACATCGACATTTACAAAAATACAAGGCAATAGGGTTTTCACAGTAACATCAATTTTCGAAAGATTGTAATGAAAATATGATCCACAAATTAAAAATTTATAACATTTTTAGTAGTAACACACCGTTAGTTGAATTAAGACATTCAACATCAATCAAGAACATCAAGACATCAAAATTTTGAAATCCATTTTTCAGTTATCACACAGTAATCTATTTCACAAACATGCAATCAAGGTATTTTGAATGTCTTGCACAACAAATAAAACAACAAAATCTAATTATGTAACACTTTAATTTAGTAATAATAAATCTCAAATTTTAAATTAGGATGCCAAAAAAAAAAAATGGATAGTTTGAACTATATATTATCTAGAAGTTTTTTAAAACCCTACAATGAACATCAATTTTCATGTAAAATCACATACCTTAACTCTATTTCTGAATCCCAAAGTTGTGAAGATGTTTTAAATGCAAAGAATCAATTGTAACTTTGTCAATGAATTACACAGTAAACTTGAAGAGTAAAATCAAAATTAAAGTTGAGTTTGTGTTACTATTTAAAATGGTGGAATTCTTCATTTTAGATATTGAGTATTTTAAAGAAAACAATCATATTCGTGTCATTATAGTAATATTAATGTTAAGAAAATTTTGAATTGTTAAAGAAATTTTGTTATCTAATTTTGACTTAATAAACCAATGATTTATTTGTACATCAAACTATCATATATAATTATCAGAATATATAATTTTCAAATAAAACTTCTGTTAATTATTATAATATTTAATAAACGATTTCAATATATAACTCAATCAAGAATTTTCATACATACATCAATGATCTAACCTATGTGACTTTCTATAATTGAACAAAATTAACACCATTAAAGGTAATTTTGAAATTCAAAAAATAAGTGGACTTAAGTACCTACATATAAGTCTAAACATAGACTTACCCCTAAATAAGTTTCCTTCCATAACTCAAGTCATTATAAGTTCATTTAAGAGAACTCACCTTCAATTTTCACTAAAATCTTCATATAAGACAAACCCACAACATAGCAAAGGAACCACCAAGTTGAGGAAAAGACTCAATCTACTCGTTAACAAGAGGCCAAGACAACTCATTTTGGTCAACAATTCAATTCCGATCCCCAGTTTCCCAAATGAGCTCAGTCGTGCCACACATTTCTTTTGATTGATTTTTACTTGTAATTGATTTATTTATTAATCGTGTCGTGTCGAGTCCACTCCTTTACCAAGTGATAATTTAAAAAAAAATTCAAACATTTTAATTTCATGTTGTGCTAATAGGTTGGTGTTATATTTTGGTACTCCTAATAAACATATAGGATTATATAGATCTCTCCAAATGTTATAATCACCAATAACTTCTATATTCAATAACTACTATACGTGATTAGTGCAATTTGCTTACCCTACTCATTTATTTGTTATTGATCGATGACACCTGATAATTATGTATTTAAATTTGGGTCACCTATTTGGAATCCAAAACATCCCGTGGGCCCATTAAAGGACAGCCCTAATGGCCCACTTACAAAGCGTCCACCTTATTATGAGATTGGGCCACAACCCAGAGCCATGACAGTCCAGGATTATCCAGTGTGAGATATGTACTAGCTTGGTCATAGCAGGCTCGGCGGAACGTACCTACTTGAGAATAAAGAGCTCAGTATAGGATGGGCCTTAAGTAACCCCAGTCCCGCCACGTGTCCAATGGCCAAAGGGACAATCTGTGACAACTCTAACTAACAAATATTCCCTGATAAAAGGAATAATCGTTTACATTTCGTTCCAAAGAACGTGGGCACAAAAGACATCAGGCTGACAAATCTCACTATAGAACAAATGAAGATGGACTACATAATCAGCTAGAAAATGAAGAATTGTGAAAACCCTATATAGCCAGGTGTATAAATAGAAGATGAAACCACTATAAAGGAGAGAGTTTCATAGTTTTACCTAAGAAATACTGTGTAAAAAGGCTCCCAGCTAAAAACCACTATAATCGCTATCTTTTTCCTCAAGCAGCAAGAGTCTGCATTATAGTGGATTTCTTAATCTTTTCAGCTAAGGTGAACCATTTGAATCTTGTTCTTTGGTCTAACATTAATATTTACTTCCCCATCGTTCTAAGTATTCTTAAAGTCCCCAATGGACTTCACCCCATAGTTGTTTTGTAATTGGGTAGAATAATTTCAAGCACCATCAACACCAAAGAACGATGACGTGTTGTAATTTATGTTAAATATTTACTCAATATTAATGTTATTGAGACATAATTTAGAAACATAATTTGAAGACTTAATGAATTACCATTGAATTGATATTGAAGTGTATTCAATACTGAAGCTCATTAACAATTCAATGGTCACAATCATTAAACCCCAAATTATATTATCAAATTACAACCAATAACATTTGTCTTTACTCAAAACGAAATATGTTCTTCGGGTTGAATGCAAGTGGGCCAGAGGCCCAATATTATGTCATTATGAAACCAAAGTTTGATTTTAGTCGTGTGGGCCTATAGCCTAATACCCATATTGTTCCATTGACGACATATGCCACGTATACTAAACATCCCATAAAAGCTATGCAACATGTGTCGCTTCCCCTTCTGCCCTCCTCCCAAGACTCGGCAATAGCGAATCTCTCAATTTGGTGAAAATTAGAATATATTTTTTTCAAATATATTTTAGATTTTTTTATGAATAACTTATTATTCCTTTAAATAAAACTTATTGTATATAAATTAATTATTTATTTATTATAGAAAGTGAGATTGCATTTAATATATATATGTGTGTGTGTGTATACATTGATAATTCATGTCTGAAGGTATAGTGCAACTAAAAAAAATTAAATATTGAATTTGAACGCAAAATAATCAAGCATTGAACTCAGATACTTACTAAACTGAAAGCCTAAACTTGTCA